TAAACCAAGAAAGAGATATTATGTAAAAAATTACAAAACTAAAAGACCATTTAGACCAAAAAGAAAATTGACGGAATGTAGTTGCTATAATTGTGGAAAATTAGGACATATAGCTAAAGATTGTAAATTACCTAAAAATCCAAAGAGGAAACAGATATCAGAAATAATTAAGGAAAATGAAAAATAAACACAAATATAATATGTCGATTATGATTTAGAAAGTGAAGATAGTATATATTAAATATCATAAAATGAAATAGATAATGACATAGAATTAGAATCAGATAATGAATTTTATAATATAAATGATTGAAGCAGATATACAAATAATAAATAAAGAAGAATGTCAAGATGAAGAAACTTTTAACAAAAAATAATATTTGATAATAGTATATTTGAACAAATAAAAGAAAAAGAATTAGATCTAAGTGTAGAAAAAATATTAGAAGTACCAAAAATAAAAAAATGATTTAAAAGACAAAAAGAAGAATATTATGTAGTAAGTCAAGAGAACATATCATAGATTGTAAGTATACAAAAGGAAAAACTAAAATACCAATAATAAATAAGAGAATAATTCATAAAGAAATACAAGAAATATTTGAAAAAAAACAATTAAATATGTACATTTAGGAGAAACTGAAATATTAATAAAAGCATATTTTAGAGAAGGAATAGATACACCTATACAAATATATTTAGCAGATGATAGAATTATACAGCCTATAGCAAAAAGTATAATAAGTGCAGTAAAAGGTAATTTAATATACCAAAAATTTAAATTTATAATAAGTGTTAATTACTCGGTAGCAATTAATGACAGAAATATAGATAAATCATTAGTATTATATTGGAAAAATTCAGGAATAGAACTAGCACCTGGATGTAAAATATTTACAGCCAGATGTAAGAATTTATATGTTTTAACAACAAAACATAAAATAACAGCAAAAAAAATAATAGAAAACCCCTTTGAAAAAATAGTTACGGCTATAGATAATAATGACTATAGTTATAATGAAATTGATATAGAAGAAGATTTAGAGATAGTACAAGAAAGACTAAGAACATCAAAAAGAATAAATAATAGTGATATACCACAAACATCATAAAAAATGAGTACTTCAAATAGTTTCAAAAGAATAAATATAATTTCACAAAAAATTATTAGAAAAAGAAATAAAACCACATCATTATTATATAACAGGAATAATGAAGCAAAGAAAATATTTAATACTAATAAATACAGGACAAGAAGATAGCTATATTACAAAAGAGTTAGTAATGGAAGATAAAATAATAACTACAGAACACTCATGTTCAAAATTAACAAAAGTATTAATAAATATTGAAGAAATTACGGAACAAGAAATAATAATTGGAGGTATACCAATGATAATAAAATTTAAAATATATCAAGGAAATGAAAATACAACATTAGGAATAAAATGGCTAGAACAAGTAAAACCATATAATATAGAGGATAAACAACTAACGATGAATCATCAAAATAAAAATGTCATAATAAAAAGGAATTTAATATAAAAAAAATATATGAAAATATATATACTCGCGAAGATAATAATAGAAGGATATTATAACATATATTATACACCAATGATAGATACAGGAGCAGAGGCTAATATATGTAAATACAATTGTTTACCAGAAGAAAACTGGGAAAAGTTAAAAACACCAATAATAGTAACAGGGTTTAATAATGAAGGAAGTATGATCACATAAAAGGCAAAAAATATAAAAATACAAATATAGGATAAAATATTAACTGTAGACGAAATATATAATTTTAAATTTACAACAAAGGATATGTTATTAGAAATGCCATTTTAAAAAAAAATTATATTCACATATAATAACAAAAACACACTGGTGGTTAACAACACCATGTAAACAAAAGATAGGAGCAAGAAGAGTAGGTAACAAAAGAAGAAAAATAACAGAATGGATTAAACGCAGTGAGTACACAAAAATTAGAAAATATAAAAGAAGAAGACCCTAAAATAGAATTAATTATATTTTCCTTAGATAAAGTAAAAATAATCCAAGAAAAATTAGAATTATTATATGGCGAAGATCCTTTACAAGGATGGGAAAAACATAAAACATAAGTTAAAATTGAACTGATTGATGAAAATAGTATAATAACACAAAACCATTAAAATATCATTTTAATGATTTAAATGATTTTAAAATACATATAAGTGGATTACTAAAAAATGGATATATACAAGAAAGTAATAGTAAACATACAAGTCCGGCATTTATTGTTAATAAATATAGTGAACAAAAAAGAGGAAAAAGTAAAACGGTAATTGATTATAGAAATTTAAATGCAAAAACTAAAACATATAATTATCCAATACCAAATAAAATATTAAAGATAAGACAAATATAAGGATATAATTACTTTAGTAAATTTGATTGTAAATCAGGATTTTATCATTTAAAGTTAGAAGAATAATTTAAAAAACTTACAGCATTCATAGTACCACAAGGATTTTATGAATGGAATGTATTACCATTTGGATATAAAAATGCACCAGGTAGATTTCAACATTTTATGGATAACTATTTTAAACAACTAGAAAATTGTGTAGTATATATTGATGATATATTATTATATTCTAAAACACAAGATGAAATAAGATTATTAGAAAAATTTATACGTATAATACAACACTCAGAAATAAGTTTAAGTAAAAAGAAAGCAGCAATAATGAAAAAACAAATAGAATTCCTAGGAATACAAATAGATAAAAATGGAATAAAAATGTGAACGCATATAGTACAAAAAATAATAACCTCGAATGAATAATTAGATACAAAAAAGAAATTACAATCCTTTTAAGGATTAGTTAACCAAGTAAGAGAATATATACCAAAATTAGCAGAAAATTTAAAATCATTACAATAAAAACTAAAGAAAGATGTAGAATATCATTTTGATAATATAGATCAAACACAAATACAAAAGATAAAATTATTATGTAAAACATTACCAAAATTATATTTTCCGGATGAAGATAAAAAATTTATTTATATAGTAGAAACTGATGCAAGTGAAAAAAGTTATGGAGGAGTATTAAAATATAAATATAATGATAATAATATAGAATATCACTGTAGATATTATTCAGGCACATATACAAACACGGAAATAAAATGGGAAATAAATAGAAAATAATTATTTTTCAGTATATAAATATTTATTGGTATTTGACCCATATATTGTATATAACAAATTTATTGTAAGAACAGATAATACACAAGTAAAATGGTGGTTAACAAGAAAAATACAAGATTTAGTAACAACGAAAGAAATTAGAAAATTGGTATTAAATATATTAAACTTTACATTTACAATTGAAGTGATAAAGACTGATAAGAATGGTGTTGCAGACTACTTATCAAGACAAAGCTACTCAGACTGAGAACAAAGACGAAGATACAATTGAAAAGATACTCAAAACCATTAATAAACTTTGTACTAAAGTGGATAGTATGGACAATGAGATACAAAAGTTAAAGACAAATGAAGATAACCTGAAGTCTAAAGTTAATATAAGCCAGCAGCATGACTATAAAATGTGGAGCTACGTCGATCGGGAGATGGTAAATTCCAGAGATAAAAGGAGACGATGTGAAACTCCCTAAAACCCATAATGTTTGTTTAAATACAGCTGCAGGTATAAGAAGAAAAGTTAGTGAAAAACCAGGAAATACAAATTTAACCAGTTATTTGCAAAATCATTTATTCAAAACACACCAAAACAAATACCCATAGAACCACAAACTTCTACCTATGCAGTGAGTATACAAAATCATAGTGAAAATAAAAGATACAATTATATTACACAAACCTACATTGAAAATATATATAGAATCCAAGTCAAGACGATATAACTCAAAAATTACAAGGATACAATAGACTTATAAGCACAACAAAAAAACTAGTGCTAATCTAGTTAAGACATGTTACAGTTATGGATTACTAAGTACAGTATATACATATGACGGAGAAGAAATCAGTGGACTACCAGAGTTATACAAAGCATTTATTACATATAAAAGAGTTACAAAAGGAAACTCATTTTATATTAAGTTTTATACAGCAGCAGCAGAAATACTATATGAGGAGGTAAAATCTCCAATTCAAGTTATTAAGATAGGATTTACAAAAGATATGACCATACCAGAGGATATTGGACATCAGAATGAAATACCAAAGATAGAAATACCAAATTTTTATGCTAATAAAAGAATAATTGGTATATCAACTATCATACAAGAATTAGCAAATAACTATTTAAATGGAAATGTCATATGGAGCTATTACGCTAGAGATCAAGTTATAATATATTCAAACTCAAGGGAATTCAGAAGAGCAGATATGGATGAAGTTCAGCGACGAATTTTATCATTACTAAAGCTAGAGGAACAACCTACAACACGAGCATTAAAGAAAGAATTTATTTCAAAAGACTTATTAATTAGATATTGTAAATTTATTGGACACAAATACCAAGATCACAGATGTTTCAAATGCAATGGAGAAGATAATGTTATGTCAGATATTGATTTGGAATAAAGATGAAGAGATAAGAATGCAAAATAAGATAAGGATGAAGAAAAAGAGCTATAGTAGACAAAGAAAAATGACGACAAAGACAAAAGAAGAAAAAAGACATAAAGAGAGATATAAACAAAAAAGGTGGTAGACAAAAGGGATAGATATCTTTGAAAAAATATAAAAATAAGAGATAAGATTCCTTTGTATAGTAAATAGCTTTTAAATTTTGAAAGACCAATATGTATAGCCGGCCATTTGTAAAGTTTTGTTTAAAAAGTTGTAAAGTATACACTAGGCGCACTTATGTACAGGTTTAGGATTTAGTATATATAGATTGTCAAATTGTAAATGAAAGGAAGGCAATGCCAAACAAAATCTTAAGTTAATAAAAACCCTTTTAAAACCCTCTCTAAAAAAAACTAAGTTAAAAAATGGAGAAATCCAAAATCAAGTCAGATATTTTAGAAAGCATGGAAAATCAAGAGACAAAGATATATTGTTTAACAACTATGCAGAACTAATTTCATATATTCCTGAATATCATATATATGATTGATTAAATTTATGTTAGTTATTATATACTAGTATTTGAATCATGAATTCTAGTTTGCTAGTAAACGGGAAACAGGGAGAAAACTGTTATACTATGTCATCCTATAGTGGAAACCGGTAGGGATGCCGTTAGGGGAGTACACAAGGTTGAGGCGCTGATAAGCAGTAATTATCCGCTAAAGTACGATGCTAGTACTGACCAAAAAACATGATAACGATACTCTAGCTTATAATACACTAATATGAATTTAATTGAATTATGACATGATAGGAAGGAATAATTGAAAATAAACCTGCATAAATAAATAAACATGATTACAATGTATGATGAAATATAAAGCTATAAAAGTTTGATCTTATATATGCTTAAAGATATAGAAATTGTTGACATAAAAAGAATTATATGGGAAAAAATATGTGATCATGATATAGAAGATATATTAAATCAAGAATGGTATGAAATAGATTTACAAGAATTAGATATAAAAAGAATAGATATACACATGCAAGCACATATTTTTTCGTCCTATACACTTATAATTATACAATAAAAATACTCCATTGCCCAATTTCTTTTGTCTTTCTCTCTTTCTCGTTTTTTACAAATTCAAATTATATATAATTTCTCTCTTTCTCGTTTTATACAATTCGATTCAATTGTATATTCCCTGCCCAAGTCTCTTTTGCCTTTCTCTCTTTCTCATTTTATACAAATTCAAATTGTATATAATCGTTTTATACATTTATAATTATATACACTTCGTTGTTATACAATTCTCTGCCCAAGTCTCTTTCTCGTTTTATACACTTTATTTTATACAATTCGCTTCAATTGTATATGTATAGCGAATTATACATTTATATGTTTTCTATAGAGTTCAATTATGCACACTTTGTTATAGCATACAAATATGAATTTTATGTTTGCTGTATGTGAAAGCTACCCTATTTTATATATGTAATTTTATTATATATTCACTTTCTAAATCTATAATTTTATTCATAATTTTTCTATAACCTTATTAGAAGCATCATCCTCCCAATTGGATAAAATATTCAATTCAAATTTAGTCAACAAGGAAAATAAAATAAAAAGAGAAATACACATTCTTCCCAAACAGAAAAGTATAGGTCTTTCTCGTGAATTCTCTAGAGCATTTTGGAAGAGCTTTTGAAACGTGATATTCACGTGTAATACGTTATACTCTTTTCTCAAAACAATAATATTTTAATTTATTTTTTTGTTAATTACCAGGTTTCATATCGTGGATTTTGGCTCCCGGTTTTTGTTTGTCTGTTTTCTCCTCCAAGCGGTAATCCCACTATAAATAGCGCTTAGTTTTCTCCAATTCTTCATCAGTTGTTTTTTAGATTCAGAAATAGGGAAAAATTTATACATAAACTTTGAATTTATGATGAATGTTGTTTTTGCTGCAGTTTTCAGGTGTATTTTTTCATGGGCATAGAAGAAATAGGGTGAATTTACTAATTTTCTCTCGAATTATCCGCAGCAATTTTGGTAAGTTTGATCCACCTGCGCTTAAATTTGATATCCGAACTTTGAATCTATGATGAATGTTGTTTTTGCTGCAGTTTTCAGGTGTATTTTTTCATGGGCGTAGAAGAATTTGGTGAATTTACTAATTTTCTCTCGAATTCTGCGCAGCATTTTAGTAAGTTTGATCTACCTGTACTTCAATTTGATATCGAAACTTTGAATCTATGGTGAATGTTGTTTTTGCTGCAGCTTTCAGGTGTATTTTTTCATGAGCGTAGAAGAAATTGGGTGAATTTACTAATTTTCTCTCTAATTCTCCGCAGCATTTTGGTGAGTTTGATCTACCTGCTCTTCAATTTGATATTGATACTTTGAATCTATGATGAATGTTGTTTTTGCTGCAGTTTTCATGTATTTTTTTCACTGTTTAAGCAGGTGAAATAGCGTAGAAGAAATTGGATCAAGTTAATAAGTTTTCGCCTCCGCAGGATTTTGGTGAGTTTGATCTACCTGCGCTTCATCAATTTTTGATCCCACGGATAAAAGAAAAACAAGTAAAAATTATATATCTAAACTTTGAATTCATGATGATTTTTTTTGCTACAGTTTAAACCAAATGTGTTAGTGTTAATCAAATTTTCATTTAGGAGGTGAAATTTCAGTTTTATCGAGTAGGTGATATTTTACGTCTTCTCTCGAGTTCTCCGCGGCATTTTGGTAAGTTTGAGCTTGCTCTAATACATTCATTTTCTAAAACATGTTGAAGGACTCAACTGAGTTTTCTTCTAAATCAGTCCCATTTTTCCAAAATATCACACTACTAAATGGTAAAGAAGACAATCACCCAAGCAAGTTTAGCAAAAGTTGCATGCGAGACAAAGGTTACCTTGGAAATGCAGGTTGCACCTACAAGGGTGTCCTCCGTCATACATCGGCAAATTGGGAGGCTGAAATCCATGAGCCTAACTATAGCCCTCGCCTTTGGCATGGTACGATGTTGCATACAAACATTGTGGTGATACGGTCCAACTCAATTTTCCCGATCACGTGCACACAAAAAATTGGAAAAAGAAGAAAAGCTAAGGTAAAACATTGTCCACTTTTGGCAATGTTTCCATGAGATCAAAAAAAGTTGCATGCTTAAATTCCGTGTTAATTGTGATACAAGGAAGATAATTGATTGCTTTTGACAAGTAGGAGAAATCAAATTCCTCCATTTTTTACCTTTTTAACTAAAAGTACAGCACCTAAAACATGCTAAACAACTCAACGGAGTTCTATTCCAATTTCCAGATCAATTCCATTTGCTCAAAAATGTTACACTACTATACTGAAAAGAAGAGAATCATCCGAGCAAGTTTAAGAAAAGGTTACATATGAGGGGACAACGCAATACATCTCAAAATACTTGTTGCGTTGTATTTGTAGTTCAGAGGATAGAAAATGGAGGAATTTGATTATTCCTATGTGTCTGTATACATGTGAACTTAGAATATTTACCTATACTTGTCAAGACAATCAAACATCTTGCTTGTAGCAGAAAGTTACGCATGCATATTCTTTGGTCTCATGCAAAGATCATCGAGAGGGGACAACGCAATACATCTCAGAATACTTCTTTTTTGAATTTTTTTCCTTTTCAAACTTTTCCAATTTTAACACTGCTGAACAAAATTATTACTTTTTTTTGTCTTCTTTCAAGGTGAATGAATTTGAATGTTTATATAAAAAAAAATTAAGCAGACCCTAACGTTAGCGCTGAAAAAGTTAAATGTGGATAATTATGGATTAGAGAAGTTGAGTTACGGACTCGTAGATTGCTGGTGTGTTCTTTTTCTTGAATATTTAGCTCAGACAGATGCTATTTTCTTTGCGACCTTTGTATGGGACCAAACAAAAAGCTGCATGCATAAGTTCCATGTTAATTACTATAGATATAAGATCTTTGATTGCTTTTAAGAAGTATTAGGTAATTTCATAAGTTTACACACACATATAGAGAGAGAGACACGTAGCAGAAATCAAATTCCTTTATTCTTTTTATGTCTTTTTAACTACAAATACAATCCTTAAAACATGCTGAACAATTCCAACTCAATTCTGTTGCAAATCCATCTCTTTTACCAAAATATTACACCTTTATACATGGAATAAGAAAATCAACCAAACAAGTTTCAGTGTGAGAAAAAGGTGGCCCTGAAAATGATAGTTACACCTACAAGGATGTTCTATAACGTACGTAGGATTAATGGATGGCTGAAAATCATTAGCCTAACCGTGGCCCTCGCCTTTGGCTTGGTACTTTTGAGACTTCTTACGATGTTGTTGCCATATAAACTTAATGGTAATAAGGCCCAATCAATTATTTTGATTAGGGTTGTCAAATGGTGGGTTGTGTTGAAATTGGAAATATTAAAATGGGTTGAATAGAAATCGGGATGGTCGGTCTTGACTTGCCCAAGTTAAATGGGCTAAAAAACGGGTTGGGTTTTCACCCGCCCAATTTGATTCGATTAATCTCAATAACTTAACATATTGATATTTAATTTTTATAATCACAATCTGAACTTTTGCTCAATAATTTTTTGTTAAAAATAGTAAAAAAATGGATAGATAAATCCTAAAAGATGTTAAATCGATAATAATTCACACCTTCACTAAAGGAACATATCTTAATGAAAAGTTCTAAAATGAGTTGAAATTGGAGATTGAATTGGACTCAACTGAGAAATTTCTTTAAATCGGTTTAAGCTTGAATGGGTTGAGATTGAATCTAATTCAAAATATCTTGAGCCCAACCATTAAAATGTTGGACAGGTTGAGCGGGTTATCTATGTTTAGGTTTATTTTTTACACACGTAATTATGATCATGTGCACACCAACAAGCAAACCTAGTTATTTTAAAAAGTTAGAAGAATTTTGTAGAAGTGTTTTTAAGTCGAGATATTTAGATTCTTAACCACTTACAAAATGAGTAAAAACAATAAATAATTTTTTCAGGTCTCTTATATCTAGCTTGTTATTTAAAGATAAAAAAAATTAACAAAAACTTTATAAACTACGAGGATGCAGACGTTATCAAATTAAAATAAAAACATTTCAAACAAACCAAAGTGTTTTCTTTTCCAAAACACAATATATATGTTTTGATATCATACAATAACTATTAAAGTTGCATTAATAATATCCATATGCAACATAATTTATATTCTTTCTTTCTTGCTTGCTTGGTGCAAGTTATTCATTCTACTCAGTTTTGAATATATAAATTAGTATAACGTAATTCCTTGTTGCATCTATTGAACACATCCAACTACCTCTCACTGTGATCGAATCTATTTCCTTAAATCTTCCATCCCCAACTGGTTCCTACAAATTTAGAGATACAACATTCAATAGATTCCTCTGAGTTCAAATGAGAAGTGTGGATTTCATTGTATAGAAGAATTTATATTTTGATATCTCAAGATAAGTATATGGGAAAATCACATTTAACAGAACTAAAATAATACTTCCTCTCTATCAGTTTATGTGATACTTTTCGTTCTTCATGAGTCAGAAAATTTAAGTTTTGATCAGAAATTTTTTACATGAAATTTTCAAAAATCTTAAATGAAATTTATATATTTATAAACTACTATTTTTTCGATACGTGCAAAGCACGTGATTATCAATTTAGATTATTTATGTGAAAAATTGGATAATAAGCATTGCACAAAATAATACTGCACATTCTTTGTGAATGTTTAATGTGGATCATCATATATATTTCTTATTACTTATGAAGATGGTCAATGCAAAATTTATTAGTTAAATGCAATACTATATATAGTTATTTCAGTTTGATGAGGTTGAATCATGTAATTAGTCGTATTTCACTAATATTACCTATAGATGATATTTGTTGTGTATTTTTCTTGTCATCTCACCAGATATATTGTGAACGTGTATTCCACTTAATCTAATTAGATGTCATATGATCATGTGGAGAGCAATTACATTTTAATTTTTTAGAACTATTTATGTATATTAATATTTATTTTATAAGTTAAAGCAATTAATATGTCACAACCTAATCGACAATTAGATTAAAAAAATTTAAGAAACAAACTTTCAGTGCTAATCTTTAATCAAAATTAGTGTTTTTCTATATATTCACACAATTGATGAATAAAAATATGTGGGCGGTACCTTGTTGAGTGGAAAGTAACAGTAACCTAAGTTCCTTCTTTCATATAGTGATAGTAGACAAGTCTTAGTTATTACTTTTCCTAAAATTTTAAAGGTAATATGATATAATTTTAGTGTATAGAATAATTTCTATTTTGATATCTCAGGATAAGAACAAGATGTATGAAAAAATTACATTTAACAAATTTATGTACAAATTTATGTGATATTTTTCATTTTTCATTTTTCATTTTTCAAGAGTCAAACAGTTTAAGTTTGATCGGAAATTTGCGCATGAAATCTTTAAATTTTTTGAATGAAATTTATATATTTATAGACTACTAGTTTTCGACACGTGTGTTGTACGTAATTATCAATTCAGAAAATTTAAGCAAAGATATGAATAATAAGTTTTTCACAAAATAATATTGCAGATTCTTTTGAGAATGTTCAATGTAGATTATCATATATATTTCTCATTCAGACTAACCTATGAAGATGGTCAATGGAAAATCTTATTAGCTAATTGCAATAATGTATGTATTTATTTCTATTTGTTGAGGTTGAATCATGTGATTAGTCGTATCTCATTAATATTAATTTATAGATGATATTTGTTGTGTATTTTTCTTGTCATCTAACCAAATGTGTTGTGCACGTATATTCCATTTAATCTATTTAGATGTCATATGAACATGTAGTAACTACATTTTCATTTTTAGAACCATTTATGTATATTAATGTTTTATGTGTGTGCGCGTGTGTGTGTGCCGCATGTGTGTGTTCGTTCGTGTGTGTGTGTGTGTGTTCGTGTGTGTGTGCCGCATGTGTGTGTGCGCGCGCGCTCGTGTGCGTGTGTTGTTTGCATTCCTAACAATATATATCTCATAAAAAGTAGCTATGGCGTTATAAGAAGTTGTATGAATTTTTCTTCCTCTAAAATATTGAAATATTAAGAAATAGTAAATTAGTTGAACAAAAGGCAATGTTTACATGATAATAACTATGTTAAAGCAAATTCTTGACATTATAAATCACATAAGTAGCATTGATTTATAAAGTTATTACTTTTTCTTAAGCATAAAAAGAACAAATTGTGACAATTCTCTAACTCTTGAAAATTTAAATAATTTTGAGAAAATATATTCAGAAACATATATTTACATCACAAGAGAAATTGTTGACAAAAAAAATGATGTTATACTACAATATATATTGCTTATACAAATTACAACTGATGTTATTACAAGTCATATGAATTTTTCTATATAGTAATAAATATTTTGAAGAAGTCTTTCTCCGCTAGAATACCTAGTCACTTCACCAGTTGGTAAAAACATTAACAGTGCAATATCTGGGTCACATATGTTAATCTTGAGATTTTGAATATGGCAAAATTGAGTTGAACAGGTAGTGCAACATGTTCCTGTGAAATATTGCAGCAGGTATGCAAGTGGCGGCGTACGTGTTATATATGGAAACTTATATGTACGTTTTTGTTTATAGTAGTTTACTTGGTTGAGGAAAACTATTAAAAACAAATTTGAGTACAATAAGGTTTCGAGAAAAAGAGTTTGTAGAAGTCAACAAGGATTTGTAGAAGACAAATACAAAGTTGATTTGTACAAGGATTGGCTGAATTTTTGGTCTATAAATAGAGAGCTATTTTGATCAGAAAAACTTGCGCATCTACAAAGAGAGAACTTCAAAACACGATCAAGAGGGTTGAGAGAGTTTTGTTAAAATCTTTTGAGTGCTGCGAGTTGAGTGTTAAAGTTATACGATTGTATTCAAGAGTTTGTTTACAATCTAGGTAGTAGATTTGCTTGACAAGTTAGAGTAATTGAAAAGCATTGAAAAGATAGAAAACGAGGGAGTAGTTTTTTGTCTTTGAGTAGAAGGAATTAGAGTTTATAATTCCTTGAGATCTTAAACGTTGTAATCTTTGTATTACTTGAAAGTTACAAATAATACAAAGTACTGTTCAAATTAATTACTGTTAAAGTTTTTCAAGCAGTCACAAACTAGTTGTTAGTACGTGTTCCTCTGAAGAATTCAGGAGGGTAGAATTCTAACAAATGGTATCAGAGCAAGGTTATCTTTAGAGAGTCTAACAACTCAAGATAAGAACAACATGAGTTCTGCACCTCCACTCAGACATGGTAAGGGTCAACACATCAACAGACCTCCACTATTAAATGGACAATACTACTCATGGTGGAAGGCAAGGATGGAAGACTTCATTCAAGCTGAAGACTATGAATTATGGGTAAGAATTACTAAGGGACCACTAATTCCTACCATCACTGATAGTGAAGGAAATAAAGTACCTAAACCCGCAGATACATATAATGAAGCAGATTATAAGATGCTAGGAAATAATGCAAAAGCTAAGTGTATTCTTGTGTGTGGATTAGGACCTGATGAATTTAACCGTATCTCAAGTTGTACCTCCGCTAAATAAATATGGGATACCTTACAAAACGCTCATAAAGGGACTACTCAAGTCCGAAAATTCAGGATTGCTAGTTTGTGTTCAGAATATGAAGCCTTTAAGATGAAATCCGGAGAAT